GTGCATCGAGCTCACGAACATGCCTTCGTAACTCTGTTTTTGCCATGTCCAGTTTTCTGCTAAGTCTGAATCTGTTAACGAAACTTTCTATGTTTACATGGGTGTCATCATATCTTATGATCCTTTTTGGCTTATGGTCAGTAAGGGACTTTCGTTATATGCTTTGAGTAGATTCATACCATTCCTTGTATTGCTATGTTCTGTTCCTATAGCATGTTGTTATCTTGCCCTAAACATTGCTTCATGATGTTAATTCCTGACATGTTGTTATTTTCACTAAGTCTGTGATGCTGATATATTTTGCCCTTTTGCCATGCTTGTTTGAACCTGCTCTTGTGTGATTTAGTCGTAGCTCAGTGTTCATCTTTTGTCAAGCATCTTGAGTAGTTCACTGCCATGTGCTTTGTTGCTATGTTGGAGTGCAGTAGCTTAGTTTCTTGTTGCATTCTAGAGGGCACCATGCTGTTAATCGCAGATTAGTGCCATTATTGTTTTGCTTTCCATTTGCAAACCGTGCATCTGTTTCTGGTGATCTTCATATCGATTTCGACCGAAATCAACTCATCTTTCCAGCGGCACTCTTGGTTTGCCAAGTTGAGGCCTGATTCAATCTTTTCCTTCCGGAGCTCGCATATGCATTGCATATCACATCCCGCATATCATGCCCTGTTTTGCATCATGTTGCTTGTGCATTGCACCGTGGTTGATTGTTGTTCCTTTGCTTGTGTTCTTGCTTTGGGTAGATCCGGGATACGAGTTCATGTTCGAGGTACCCGTTGAGTACGTTTACGAGGATCAAGCTTTCGTCAACTTAGAGAACTTTGCAGGCAAGATGACCATACCCTCGAAATCACATCTATCTTTGCTTGCTAGTTGCTCGCTCTTTTGCTATGCTGCGATACCTACCACTTGCTATATCATGCCTCCCATATTGCCATGTCAAACCTCTAACCCACCTTGTCCTAGCAAACCGTTGTTTGGCTATGTTACTGATTTGCTCTGCCCCTCTTATAGCGTTGCTAGTTGCAGGTGAAGATGGAGTTTGTTCCTTGTTGGAACATGGATATTTGTTGGGATATCACAATATCTCTTATTTAATTAATGCACCTATATACTTGGCAAAGGGTGGAAGGCTCGACCTTATGCCTGGTGTTTTGTTCCACTCTTGCCGCCCTAGTTTCCGTCATACCGGTGTTATGTTCCTTAATTTTTGCGTTCCTTACGCGGTTGGGTGTTATGGAAACCCCTTGACAGTTCGCCTTGAATAAAACTCCTCCAGCAAGGCCCAACCTTGGTTTTACCATTTGCCACCTAGCCTTTTTCCCTTGGGTTCTACAGACTCAAGGGTCATCTTTATTTTAACCCCCCCGGTCCATTGCTTGTCTAAGTGTTGGTCCGAACTTGTCAGCAGCCGGTGGCCACCAGGGGCAACTCTGGGCTGGCCTACCGGAATCTTGGACAATCTGGTGTTTCCCTAAGAACGAGATATGTGCATCTCCTATCAGGATGTCGGCGCATCGGGCGGCTTTGCTGGTCTTGTTTTACCATTGTCGAAATGTATTGTAACCGGGTTTCCGAGTCTGGTCGGGTCTTCCTGGGAGAAGGAATATCCTTCGTTGACCGTGAGAGCTTGTGATGGGCTAAGTTGGGAACCCCTGCAGGGTTTTGAACTTTCGAAAGCCGTGCCCGCGGTTATGGGTAGATGGGAATTTGTTAATGTCCGGTTGTAGAGAACTTGACGCTTAACTTAATTAAAATGCATCAACCGCGTGTGTAGCCGTGATGGTCTCTTCTCGGCGGGGTCCGGGAAGTGAACACGGTGTTGGAGTTATGCTTGAACGTAAGTAGTTTCAGGATCACTTCTTGATCACTTCTAGTTCACGACCGTACGTTGCCTTCTTTTCTCGCTCTCATTTGCGTAAGTTAGCCACCATATATGCTAGTGCTTGCTGCAGCTCCACCTCACATACCTTTTACCTACCCATAAGCTTAAATAGTCTTGATCGTGAGGGTGTGAGATTGCTGAGTCTCCGTGACTCACAGATTACTTCCAAAACTAGTTGCAGGTTCTGTGGATACCAGTACAGGTGACGCAACCGAGCTCAAGGAGGAGCTCGATGAAGATCGTGTTCGTTGTGTTGTTTCGTTTCTGGTTGATCAGTAGTGGAGCCCAGTTGGGGCGATCGGGGATCTTTTGCATTAGGGGTTGTCTTTCTTTATTTGGTTGCGTAGTCGGACCTTGATTGTATTCTGAATGTTGTAATGCTATATTTAATGTATTGTGTGAAGTGGCGATTGTAAGACAACTCTTTATCCCTTTCTTATTCAGTACATGGGATGTGTAAAGATTACCCCTATTGCGACATGCCTATAATGCGGTTATGCCTCTAAGTCGTGCTCCGACATGTGGGAGATATAGCCGCATCGTGGGTGTTACAATAGTATTATACTTGTAGCCTTGTTATCACGATAATATTGAGTGCCGAACCAACAAGAATACACACACACACACACGAGAACGCGTGCGCGCGAGAGAGAGAGAGAGAGAGAGAGAGAGAGAGAGAGAGAGATAATTTGTTATGAATGGGAGGCATGTGGAAGCAAATCAACTGTACAGAACGCTCAACATGAAAAATCAGCTCAACACCACTATTTCCTAAAACAACAAGATTCTACAAGACCATGCTACAACATAATCATAGCCCTTTGGCATGCTCCA